TAAACCTTTCTAAGGTCAGCAAGTTGTATCCTAGCAGGGTGAAATTCAAACTTCACCATCCGGTTGCATTCTCAGGATCTTGATAATGGTTATTCTTTTTGAAGAGATAATCCTGAACTTTATTCTAAAGGGATATTGACACAGCTAATGAAAGGTGAAAAAATATCATTTTCCTGGATAAAGGACAGATTTGCACTTTCAGCAGTGAATATAATATAGGCTACACACATGTTAAATGTTAATTTTTAGTGATGTATACCTGAAAGTTATGTTACAATGCAGGTAGTTCAATTAAATTTTTTTCTTCCTTCAGATTACATAATGCTTCATTTACAGTTTACATTTAATGTTTTGAGAAGGGAGTTAAGAATTTTATCATTTCTATATAAGGATTTACACTGGAGTAGACAGCTATGATGCAAATCTTGGACCCCCTTCTTCCTAATTCTAGATTCTGATCCCTTAAGAACTCTTGACTCACTAGCCAACTCCTGGCCAGACCTTCTTGCATCTCAATAATCCCAGCTGGAAAATTAGGTAAAATATAAACATGACCTCATTAAGAAACATGTTTCATCTGAGCTGTGCTTCTTGAATAAACATTACAAAGCTTCTGGTGACATTTTTTTTTTTAGAATGTAGTCTGTGTCCCTACATACAGTGGTCAGTTTGGAGTTGGGAAACAGGAGCTTAAATTTTTGTTTAATTTGCCGACCTAAGTTTAGAAAAACAGCCACTTCCCTTCCTGAGGTTAATATTATAACTCAATCCTAGTTGTACAGTAATGCCTGAGATGAAGGAGAAGCTTAATCAACATTTTCCTTTAAACCAATATGTCTTCCCCCAAGTGTACGTTATAAAGATTTTTAATATCAGGTTGATTGCGAATTTAAAGAAGTAAGATGCTTTTAAAACTATATTGTGAATAACAGAAACTTATTTCACAAAATATCACCCACATGTCATTTTAAAAGATGATTTTAAAGGATGTCTATAGTACTAAAAAAAATATCAGAAATTATTGCTATTGCAATATCATTTGACCTAATAATATAGCTTACATTCCCACGCTATGGGTTTATTAGAGATAATTAATCATGAAACACTTTCCTTAGTATAATTCACATCAACTTCTTCCTGAAGTTACATAAGTAGGATGATTGTCCTTACAACAGGATTTAATATCTATTAAGGGAAGATCAGTATTTTATACAAAAATTTTTTTTTGACGTTTATGATTTCAAACAGCAAAATACATTTCTGTAGGCTGCAAGTTTTGGGGAAAATAATAGATGGTTGGATTATTCTCAGAATTTCACTCTGACTTCTATATTTCCCTTTTTCTTTTTTTTTTTTCTTTTTTGCTTATTGAGCTTATAAATACAAATGCTATTAACAAGTACACCTCCAATATACACAAGCATGTTTTGGTCTTTAATTGCCTCTGGATTTCAGGTGAAAAGTTTTCACTGACAGCAACCAAAACTTTAAGATTCACTAACAAATCTAGTCTTATAAACAAGATTTTTAAACTGAATTAAAGCAAACAGACTGCACTTCCATCTCTTGAATGTTTACTGATAGCCAATGGTTCCAAATACAAGTATTAATTCTTCTTTCACATGGGACTTTAGGGCTTCTCATTTAAACACTAGCAGTAAAGTGTTACCCCATATCCTCACTATGAGTTTTCATGTTCTGTTTCACAAAAGGAATTGGTTGAGCTTCTTCAGATTTCTTTAGTAACTTTCAGATTTCCTTTGAGTCTTCTACAACCTTCTTCCCCTACATTTTGACTTGATCTAGAAATGGACTTTGTCCTTCCCAGGGTAAGAATTGCCTGTCTCTGTGGGTTTCTTGATTCCATTCCCTTCCCTTCTCCAAAATTTCACTCCTCAACAAACTCTGTGTTAGTCTAAAAAATCATCTAAAAACACCTTTTGATGAAAACAAAAACAGATTACCAACTCTAGAACTTGGTAAACATTTTCTTAAAATATTCTTCAGTTGTTAGCTTAGTCTCTGAAACACATATTTGTAAATTCAATCTGTGCTAATCCTGCTAAAGGCTGCATTTCAGAGAAAAGCTCAATCTTCAAGCCACATTTGAAAACTTAAGTATCTCTGTGGGTGATTTATGAACAAATTTTCACTGGAAAAGGTGGCTGATGGAAAAGCTAAGTCATGATGGTAAGTAGTCAATGATTCCCCTTCAAAGCATCTACTTGAAATATATTTCTGTCAGCTGTGAAATTCTATTTTAAATGTCCTGGTGTCTGGTTCTATGTCTGTAAACTTTTAGTATCACAAGATCATCTACTGTTTGTGCCTTTAGAATATCTTATGCTGGGATAGTTTCTTGCCATTTTGACTCAATATGGGCAAATTTGAGGTTGACCTGGGATGTCTTAACAAGAATGACTAGGCACCACATTTGAAAATGCCATTCCTTTTGCTGTTCACAGCCTTTAGTATGTCTGTCACGTCTTTCTTGAAGAGCATCCAACACTCCTCACGGTGCTCTTCCATTTCAATTCCTGTCCGATGCCTGAAGAGAAGTCACATGGCCCACTGCTGTGGAGCTGGCTGTCTGATCTTGGACGCCTGAATACTCTTCACATTGCTCACAACTCATTGCTCTTGAGCATGCCAGGCTCTACAGCCAGGCAGTGGCCTTACTCCAGGACAGGATACTTCTCTCCCCTCCTAAGAGCCTGTCTCTTTCAGTTGACCCTCAGGCCATCCATTTCTGACTGGCTGTTGGAAATCTTAGAGAAGTCACATCACTGTTTAGCTCTTGCTGAAGTGCAACTACGATTCGCTCATGCTTAGAATGGCAATCATTTCTTATTACCCTGCAAGACTTTTTCATATGTCTTCAGCCACAATTAGTTACATTAATAAATTAGTAAATTTAGGGAACATAAAATTCAGTGTTGTGCCAACTAATATACCAAGAGTCTTAAAAGCATACAACATGTTTTACAGTAATCTGCCTGGTTGCTATGTGAAATCTTGAAAAATTATATGCCTTGCCACTCTGAAGGTAAGAAAAAATGGAGGCCCCTCAAAGTGAGTCTGGTTTTTGCCACCTAGCCTGTATTTTAAATCAAAACTCTAAGTGTCCCCTGCAGATGCAGTGGGAGTCTCTTGACACACCCCAAAAGGGTACGTGGATGATAGTACTTCTTTACGTCCATGGTGGCGGAAAAGACTATTACTCTGGTAAACAGATGGGTATCTTATGAACAAGCATGCAAAAATCCAATTTTTAAAACTACAATAACTGGATTGCAATGAATATCATGTTACTGAAGTCACACAAGTCCCACTGTGTTAGCTGATACAGAGTCTACCAGAGGAAAGTTCAAGTAGGCAGAGTGTGTCCTCAACAAGCATTTGCATGTAATGACTTTAGGTATTTTCGAAGAGGACTTCAAAAGAGGGTCTGCTTTCCTGTGAGCTGTGGGTTCTGTGAAAGACTCAACATACCAGCTGACGCTCCCACCCTTTCTCTTTGGCATGTCATTGGGGGCACCGTCTATAATATGCTACTGACCAAATGGAGCATGAATTGTGTGGAAGGGTGCCCCAAAGATGACCTATTAGCTTAGCAAAGACTTGAAATACATATCTGCCAAACTAGCCAAAAAGTGTGGTGCACTGGAAGGTGCCTGAGTCCTTGCCACTTACGTTCGGCCACAGCAGCAACCAACAACTCAGTGGACAATTTTGTTATGAGGTGTCAGTGATTTAATAAGTTGACCAAAAGTGCTTGGAATGTATCATGAAAACGGTTGCTGGTGTACATGGAGCCTGGGCAATGTGGCCCAAATTCCTGCCCCTGGCACTCAACCCTCCAGAGACTGCGACCACCACTTTCTATGGTATTCGCTACATTCTTTTTTGGTGGTTTGTGTTCTATCCCATAAAGTTTTACAGGGAACACTACTAGGATGACCTGTCCACTCTTTAGCCCTTTTACACTGCTGGAATTTTTAAAGCAGCATTTTAGATTTATTGGAGGATGTCACTTGAACCTCACACTGCCTGAAACTGAATCGTATATAGTTAAAAAAAAATTTAGTCCGATGATAGAATGTGGTTATGCCTAGCTTATGAAATAATTCCTAGCTTGCAGAATGGACATGTAAGGTGGGTTTCGGGGAACATGGATGATGACATAAGTGCAAGCTCCACCAAGCTGGGTGTTTTTGTACAAGTATTTGCCTTCCCAGCATTCGTTTGTTCTTCAAGCTCTAACACTCCATGATAGCACCTTGCTATTATGAGACATTTATTACATGGAAGTGAATATAGTTTTCAGATATGTCTTTTGCTTTTGAGACTAGGTAAAGGTCATAAGTCATTAAATAAAAGACATGTAGGGGTGAAGCAAATTTCCATTTGTGTAACAGCTCTTTCTTTCTTTCACCTAGTCATTTCTTGTATAGTGACCTACTTTCTTGTCCAAGAAATTAGAAATCACTGACAATTAAACACCATGTATTAAGTGTTTGCAACTTGCAGAACATTGACTATAATACAGAGTTTTTGACAGTGGAAGGGGGTGAAGAGAGAGGATCTATGATTAGTTGGGACTTATGGTTGATCAGAGAAATCCAAATTAGGCAAGTAATCAGAATAATGTGTAGGGAGGACTATGACATAATCCCACAGTCACCCTGAATATTCTATGTTCTAAAAGAGGCTTTGTTTCTACGTATCATGGAGCATGTGTGATCCAGATGGATTAGGGGAGCATCCATTGTTTAATGTAATTTTCAGTTTTCCTGTAAATGTTCACCAAGAGAGCTGTTCTAACAATATGCAGCTTTAATTTCTCTGGAAGCCAGTCACTGCAGGAGAAGGCAGTAAAAATAATCTTGGGTCCGGGAGCAGGATGGTGGTGATGGAAATCAAATGCTAGCATAATTGTCACGGAAGAGTGGAAATACCAAATCCCTCCTTATATGCATTTCTTATATTCTCTCCCTTAGGACATCTACTTGGCCTCTCCCACGATGACTCCAAATTCTGTGAAGAGAACTTTGGTTCCACTGAAGACAAGCGTTTAATGTCTTCCATCTTAACCAGCATCGATGCATCCAAGCCCTGGTCTAAATGCACCTCAGCCACCATCACAGAATTCTTGGATGATGGCCACGGTAGGTAGCAGCAAGGACATCAGTCAAAAACCCAACTTGGGACTATCGTGTTCTGTTTTATTATGTTCTGTGGCATTCCCCATGCCCTCCATGCTGGGCTTGTTGAGCCCAGCAGTGGGTGTGTAGTGCCAGCATCCTTGGTGGTGTTATAGCCATGGTATTTTTGCTTTTGAATTGAAAAGATCAAAAGGGAAGCAGTGTGGGAGACCACACAGAATGTGTAGTTTCTGCCCTGAACGTCTGGCTCTTATTCCCTCTTTCACCACTAGCTTCCTGTGAGAAACTGGCAGACATCTTGTTTCCCTGCTATTAATATGACTCTCAGAATTATTTGTTTCATGCTTATTATAGGGGTGTGGTTAAGACAGAGGTGACAGTTCTGTCAGATTCCCTTTATGGCAACATAAAGCCAGGAAAGGGTTTGCATTCCCTGGATGAATTTGGTTTCATCCAGACAGCAGGTTCTCCTGAAAGTGGAGTCAAAACTGCAGAACAGAAATAGAACAGCATTTGAACGGTGAGAAAACACTGCAAGAACTTCAAAAGAAAATCTTTGGCATATTCTTTAGATACAGTTCAGGCGGTGAGTATATTTAAGTTCTATAAGCCCAGGATTAGTGCTGTAAAATGTAAAAATACTGAGAAAGTCATAGTTTACAAAAATAATAAATTCTCACCCTTAAGTAAAACTTTAAAACAAGCCATTTCAAAATTGCATGCTTTGTCACTCTGTGCAAAGGAAAGGTGGAGGCTTGCTTCTCTAGGTGAAGTTAAAGTGCTCCTTAAATTTCCTTTTAAATACTAGCATTCCTGACACTCCTTAACTTTAAACACAGAAGAATAGACTCATCAGACTCATCTCAGTTGAAAGAGATATCTGATCAGATCATGTGGTTCGAGTTTTTCATATTCCAGATATTTTCTTTTTGTCCTACGAAAAGTACTCCTAACATTAATGGTTGAAGTATTGTGACAGAAATTCTTGATGATAATAATTATCCATAAAGGTATCTCAAAGTCAGCTAAAGCGAATCTGACAAATATTTCTTTCTACTTCCACAATGTTCCTGATGCGATATTTTTGTAATTTCTTTTTTTTTTTTTAAGATTTATTTATTCATTCATACAGAATTGGGGTACAGGCCAGAGAAGCAGAGGGTGAGAGGATTCACCAGGAACAGAGTGGGGAGCAGAACAGGCAGATCGATGAAGTACACTGCTGAGAGGAGTGGGTCAGGGGAGGTCTGCTGTGCCATGTGGTCACCTCCGGGGCAGGCGGGAATCGAACTCATGCGGAAGTGGCTTAAGCTTCTTAGTGCGGTGCTTTAACCCGCTGCGCCACCAGGGAGGGCCCGATATTTTTGTAATTTCTTAATGAGTTGGCCATTAACCTGCAGCTAAAAGGTTGTCAAAAACAACTGATATATTCTTTTCAGATGAAAATAAATCCCATCACAAGGTTCCTTGTATCTTATAGCCAGTACTATTCATGAACTCCTTTGTACTAACAATGATGATCAGTAATATTTTAGCTACTTATAACGACTTAAAATTCCTATTCATGTACAGTCCCTACCTGCTAGGCATAATGTGGGGTGTACCTTTGACAGGGTGTATGTCAAGGCCCTGAAATCACATGTTTCATATAATTAAGACAATTAAGGAGACAATAACTCACTAAAAATGTAAAATTAAAAATAACAATAAATAAAATTTTCCTCGATATGAAAATGAATCTTCTTTGTTAGTGAGAGAACATCCCAATTTATTAAATATTTAGAAACCATGGCAAAAATCAGTGTGCTAGCTTTTTCCTTTACACTAATAATAAAGTTGTGAGTTTCTGTTTCACTTAATTTACAATGCGAATTAAACAGCAGGAAAGTTCCTGAAATGAATATTTATGTAGTTATCTGCATTTCTCCATTGATCAAGATAGTGTCTAATAAGGTGCCTGTTTGGGGGAATCAGAGTTCCCATCTAAAGAGCACTTTTTCTTTTTTCAGGTTTTCTGAAAATGAAATAATAGTAATATTTTACTTCAAAATCACATGTTACACATTCCAAAATGTTGAGCTCAACTTTGAATCACAAACTGAACAGAGTCAGTTGCTAAGGCAGCAAATACTTACAGCTAAAATGGGATCAGTTTTTTTTTCTCCTGTGCAAGTATTAGGTCAGCTAATTACAATGCTGTGCAATTTGTTTCCCTCATTGCCATAATTTTGGAATGATTCACAGCATGTTTGTGGAATTCATGATCTTACTTTCTGTATAGTAAACAGGCTTTCAGTATTGTCTTCCTTTTTTTCAATATTATTTTGAGATTCAGTAGGGTCTATGCTCCAACTAAAAAGAAAAAAATAACAGGGAGCAAACGTCATCAGTAGCCTATCACAAATAAATCCAGGAAAGTAGGAATGAAAGAGTGACTTTGTGGCATCAAGGCAAAGCTCAATTACATCCATCTCATAACAGCGCACAGATGTGGGCGGAGGTAGATTATTCTCTGAAGTACTGTCATTTACATGAGAGTTCAAATAATTTGATCCTCTTTTAAATTGGGGCCCAAAATACTGACTTAAGTCAGCTTAAGTGAAAGTGTGTCCAGAGGAGCTAGAGATGTTTGAGATACCGACGATGCCAACCGTTGGTCAGGAATGAGGATGAGAGAGCCCAAGATGATGAGAAATGGGCACATTAACAAATACACAACTGATAGAATGAAGCCGGGGAACCCTTTTCATGACTCCTAGAGAATTTCTCGGACTTCCATTTACAGACCACTTGGTCATATTTCTCATTTCTTCTATTTTTTCCATGGTACATTTCTAGGCCCCTAGTAATAGAAGCATTAAAAGAGTCATAATGAAGGGTGGGAGACCTTCAGATGGGCAAACTGAGGTCAAGAGGTCATCATCATTAGATAATTAAGGAAAACAGTAAAAATGTTTCAGAGTAGCCTTAAAGGATTTAAATCACAGTGATTCTCGATTTTCAGTTATTTAGGAAGAAGACATGATGGCAGGAATACAAAAGGAGCAAAACAATTGATATTTTTAAATCTAGTCATTTTTAGGGGGCTCCTAAATGTGTTATGTGCAAATTCACATTCTTGGACGAGAGCTCATCTGTCTCGCTCTTAACCCCAGCAAGGCTGGAGAAATGAGGTTTTAGTGCACAAGTAAATTCAAATCAGTTGATTTGTTTTTAAAATTATTAGCCATAAGTAGCTGAACATTTGTAGCACTCAACCACTGCCAAATTTAAATTCATTAGTACTGAGTGTTTCCTGATTTAGTTCCAACAAGAAATATGGAAGAATTAGGTTATGGTTGAAAGGTCAGTCTAAAATAACTGTGCCTGCAAACTTGTGATTCAGAAAAGGAGAAGCCATGTCTCATAGGGACCTCCCCCACCCTCAAATTCCCTTACTGCCTGGCTGGCCAAGACACGTGTAGACATTCTGCAGTGTTTATACAAGTTAGCTCTAGGCAAGCTGGCCAGGAGTGTGATCCTTGAAAATAAAGGTAAGCATTGGCAGGGAAATTGTGCAGTGAAAGCAAGTTATTGAATTACCACTCTCAAGTGTTTAATAACCTTGAAGTCCAAAGAGATAGCTGTGTCTGCTGTATCCCTAAGTCCACAACCAAGGGGTGTGGAAGCCCACGGCCATCGACTCACTAGAGACAGTCAAGAACACCAGAGGCGTTGCTGCTGAGGACGATCTATGAGCTTTGAAAAACTAACATGCAGCATAGTTGAAGGGTAAAGGGTACAGCCACTCAAGAAGCTAGAACTTAGCAGATAACATCATATTAGAAACAGTCTGAAGCCTTTGTAAATACAGACTCTAAGGCTGACCAGGTGATCTGAACATTCTGTTTTGAAGGTCAGTCTTAAAAGGCAAAGCCTTTTGTGTTGTCAACAAATAGATTCTTCAAGAGAGTCTGCAGATCAGACATGGATTTAAGACTACAGCAGTGTATATGTGTTCCTCAGCACGGACGATTTTACTCTCCTTTCCTTGCCACTGCATTGGAGCACAATGCCCCTAGTGGCCCTGACCGCGTCTCAAAAAGGCCCCTTGAATTCTCTTAGGTCAGCAACAATTGCATGTGCTACTGTGCTCTTATAACTTCCTCAGTCACTGGGCGATGGTGAGGCATCAAGAGCAGGCAAATGCACAGCTTCTCTTTGAATTTGACACATTCAAACAGTGACCTGAGCTAAGAGTTGCAGAGCTAGCATAATGATGGGACGTACAAGGCAAGCGATTGCTAAAGTGTTGGACTTCTCGGGCTAAGTTTTCCTAGGAGTGTTGACTGATTCCTGCTAGGCCATGGTTGATGGGTCTGCTGCTTCATTTCAGGCCTTTCATTACTGAAAAGGAACGGAGGATGGAAATAAGAAATGACAAAGAAAGATGAAAAGAATAAAGAACAACCAACTTTCATTCACTAATTTCATTCATCATTACTATGTAAGACAATGTTGTACAACACCTAAAAAATTGGAATATATTTCTGTTCCACTTCCCAGAGGCACAGCATTCTTTCCCACACCCTCACCCCTCTGCACTTTTAGACGTGGCGAGGGGAGCAAGTATTTTCCTTTGTCCGTTGCAAATCACTGAGTTTTAATCCATATTTTCACCTGACTCTAAGCATTTAGCTTAACATTGGTAGCAAAAACAAATATACAATATGTTCACAGTCTATTATCTCTCTTTTGGAAACTGACCATTTTTGTACACAAAATATTTTTTTTAAAAAGGGGGGGTTAGGGAGGGAGGATGGAAGGTAGACAGCTTGACAATATATGGAACAGAACAGAAAAAATGCTGGCAGCAAATCCCAGATAGAATTTCAGAACAGGGTAAATTGAACAGATGCAGTGGGTATGAAGAGCAGTTGGGAATGACAGAACTGATTAAGAAATTCACATAGATTGGATGTCCTTAAAGGTCAGGATAGATGATATGAAAGATCCTCTTTCACCCCTCATCCCAATTTCCCACAGTTCTTAATGTGGGGAAATACAGCTCCAATCCACTATGACTTCGATTTGAAGTATTTTGCACTGTGTGACTCTGAATCAGGCTGTCTATCGATTTCTTTATTGATCCCTGCAGCAGACTTCTATTTGATAGATAGCTGTTTACTTTTATGGCAAAATGAGATAATTCAACAGACAGATGAAAGCAGTAGACTGTGAACAGGGTAAACAGAAACTAAAACCACAACAAATCCTAACACTGGGGTAATAGATTAATGGCGATTCTGAGTTAGCTTATATTTGTGCAAGAAAAGGGAAAATCCGGGATGATTTCTAATAGAAAACCATTGGGCTGAGATATTGTTTTAAATACCGAAGCAATGTGTTCCTCATTTTTAATACAATATGGTATTGAGCTTTGTAAAGAGATGTCGCACCTTTCAGTCTCCACGTTGGGAGCTGATTTCAAATTGTTGGCATTTCACATTTCTTTTCATGTATTGTCTACTGAGTGAGATGGGAGGATGTGAGCAGCTGAACATTCAGAGAGAGGTGGCTAGTCATTTGGGCTCAAGGAGAACACATGAAACATGCCCCCCACCTGTTAAATACTTCTGAGGTACTATTCTGTTACCTCGTCACATGCTCCATGCTTTTCAATAAAGTTTCTTAAAACAGCAGTTTTGGAGAATTGGAAAGCATTCTTGCTGCCTCAGAGATTTGTTGACTGCCTTCTAACATCAGCAGTCTGATCACTCCCGGTTGCACAATGCTGCTTTTTGTGTGGCAGATAGTGCTTTCAGCGTCTTAAGTCCCGGATTTTAGCTCTGTCTTCTAAACAAAGCCCAGTGAGGTTTTACTATCATTCTTTCCCATTGACTTGATGTTGTTTTTCTTTTAACTGGATGTTTTTCTCCCTAAGTTCTCTTTGGCTAGGGACTTATTTTTAATGCTTTTTCTGGCTTGCCTTCAGAAGCTTTACCTCTTCAAACATTCTGGCTCAGAAGTCAAATAGGAACTTTGCTCCTTATTCATTTTCATATAATGCCTCCATCACAGATCGACAAATTCTAAGGTATTCACCTTGAAAAAGCTTGAGTGTAGTTGGAAAAACATTTACAGATATTTAAAATGTGCTGCATATTCAGGATTTTGGTGGAAAATGTAGGGTTTAAATATAATTTTCCTCTCTTGAATAGAAAGAATAACTCAATCCATCTAAAAGTTCACTAAAGATGTTGGGCATTGGGCCAGTCTCATTGTTTCAGAATTTTCTGGTTGTTTCTTATATTTGTGTGAGTACATTTTACCCCCACAGTGTCAGAGTGAAAAGAGAAACACTTCACAGGTCTTGAAAATAAGTTTGGGAGAGGTCAGTAACTTGGCCAGGAACACTCAGCCACTTAGTGTTGCCAGAATTAGATTTTCAAATGGGCAGTTCTACCATGTGGTGTCGTATCCACCATTTAAAGGGTCCTGCTGTCTCTTGCCCTTTAGCAATAAAGCAGGAACTCTGCCATGGGTAAGCTGAGGAAGGATGGCGTTGAAGAGAAGGGCAGGTTATGGAGACACCACCCTCAGCTCTGGCACCTGGGTAAATGGTTAGTCTGTATGTGTTTTCCTTTTCTTAACAATACATTTAAGAAAACGTTAAAGATCATGTCAAAGTTCTTCTAGGGATTAAATACACTTAGAACTGACACTGATATAAGTTTGCAACAAATATTTATTATCACAGTCAAATAAACAGAAAAATACTGAAACCAATGGGCATTATGGCTGCCACAGATGAAGAGAGAGAAGTAATAGTGTTAACTCACTGCGCAGAGATCATTCGGGAAGTTGGAGGGTGGGGAGGAACTTGTGTTTCAGCCTCTGAAATTGCATTGCCCCCTACCAACTGCTGGTGACCCCACTCCTGCTTTATATCTCATATTACAGCACAGTGTCAGCAGAAATTTATTTGTGGAAGACTCGATTCCAACCCCTCACACATACCATTTGCGTGGAATAACCAGCAGAAAGGGTAGAAAAAGTAGAAGAGTGTCACGCTGGCCCTGGTCCCCGACGACACTGTTTCTTCAGCTTTTACTGTTTTTTTTTCTCCTGACACTGTTTCTTTGGCTTTTTCTCCTGACAACTTTTTCTTAAAATTCTTATCAGCTTGTAAGAAACAATTTATCTAGTGCACTTCCTTCCCTTTATTGGAAGACTGTGGCATGGATCGGGGCGATTTTTCTGTATCACCCAAGCAGGTGTATTTGGTAAAACAGTGTAGGTGGCAAGCCATTGCTTACTGAGTGAATATGAGAGTGAATGAGCCACTTTATTTACTCCTGGTGGATTTAGCGGAAAGGAAGCGAGGCTAGGCAGTTGAGGAAGAGGTAAGTTGGCAGGGCAGAGTGGGGTGTAATAGTGTCAGGACAAATTGCTTCTTAAAGCTGTAAACGCACATTTATTTTCATTGCTGTTTCTTTGTCCATGATCTGATTTCCTCTAGGTCCATCCTGATTTCTTTGGGCGCCTTGACACAATGGCTGTTTTCACAACTAATTTTACAAAGTACAATAACTAATGAATCAGATCCCTGCCAGTCATACCTCCAGCATTATAGACACCCAGAACAACACATACCCAACTGTCCAGAAGGGTGTTGGTGAATGAGAAGAGGGGAACCCAGACTCAACCCTCGAGGAGCCCCTTCTCCAGAACCTCACACGGCAGACTTGGGGTGCACTGCACCTCAGCACCAGCTGCAACGGTGCACTTTTAGATTTGTGGTTTGAAACTTAAACCTAGCGCAGTTGGTCAATCTTGGTTCCTGTTTTAGGGAACTGCTTGCTGGATTTGCCACGAAAGCAGATCCTGGGCCCTGAAGAGCTTCCGGGCCAGACCTACGATGCCACCCAGCAGTGCAACCTGACTTTCGGGCCAGAGTACTCCGTGTGCCCTGGCATGGATGTGTGCGCGCGCCTGTGGTGCGCTGTGGTGCGCCAGGGCCAGATGGTGTGTCTCACCAAGAAGCTGCCTGCCGTCGAGGGGACCCCGTGTGGAAAAGGGAGAATCTGCCTGCAGGGCAAGTGTGTGGACAAAACAAAGAAAAAATACTATTCAGTAAGTAATACTTTTAACACACAACGCCTGCAGGCCCAAGATATGAAATACCTCCCTGTGACCAGGGTGGGGCTGTCACCGGGAGACTTTGTTAGATGAAATATTCCTCCTGTATCCTTGGAGGTGATTCTCAGTCATCCAATACTGGAGGAAATGCAGATCACACATCCATTTGGAAGTAGTGTACTATCGGGCGGGCAGGACTCTTCACAAGGTTCACATCGTGCCCTGTCACCTAATGGCATGCTGCGCCAATTTAGAGCTTTCACAAATAAACATATAAGCCATATCTGTCTATGAGGCCCCTAGTAGCCCTCCCTGCCCCATCTCACTTCAATATTTACTTTCAAATTTCTCTTAGTTCAATTATCAGAATACACTGATCTCAGTTCAGTAGAATAGCAACAGTAAAGTCGAGTCAAGGCTGATCTCCAAAATGGCGGCTCTCCTCCTCAGACCAAGTCGAAAAAGTCACCCATATCCACTCCAGGGAAATACTTCCGCCCTTGGCATAGACCTGGTACCTTCATATAGGCAACTACCACTTTAATTTCAAAACCCAAGGGAAGTATTTATTCGCTCTCTTGTGGGAGAGGTTAGATGTCCCTAGAAGAGAGTTGCCATGGGTCTTCAGAACCATGCATTTGCAGATACTCTGTCATGGCTGCCAGAGTTAGTTCTCCACACAAGTCCTCTGCAAAGGAGTTTATGGTGCTCTTCCTTTTGGAGTCTCTCAACTTCCTGCTAGGAAATTTTCAAAGGAACAGGTTGAGGGTGTCATATGTGATGGGGCTCTTCATTCCCTGTGGTCAGGGGCGCATTTCAGTATTTGTCAGTTTTTTTATGTACTGAGTGGAGACTCTGGCCTGATGAGGAATGAAGTCAGCCCAAGTCAAAGCCCAGGTACATATGTTCATGTGGCCAGGGAGATGCTTACAGATGTGGTATATGAGGTGATCATACACCAACATTAGCACCAATATTTGTGCTAAGTGGGGAGAGAAAGTTGCAAGCATAAGCCCAGTAATGCCCAGAGCATGCAAGAAATGTGTATGGATACAGTTAGTTAACCTGGGAAGAGCAGGGCAGACAGAGACTTGGCAATGGTTCCATGGTTATTCACTGAAATGTACAAAATCAGAAGGTCCAAGGAAAGCAGTGGGTTAGTAGTTAATAGTGCTGCCTGCAGTGGGGGTGGACAGATGAATTTCTTAGAACTGGAAGCACATTCTAAATCCAGGAATGGTGACCATGCTAAATTCAGTGAAAACGTAATTGTCTATAATGAACTTTCCACTGTGATGTCCACTTGTATCCTTTGAAAATTTCCCTTCTTCAATGTTAACAATCACTTCTGTCTTCTATTTCAGACATCAAGTCATGGCAACTGGGGCTCTTGGGGGTCCTGGGGCCAATGTTCCCGCTCATGTGGGGGAGGAGTCCAGTTTGCCTATCGCCACTGCAATAACCCAGCACCCAGGAACAATGGCCGCTACTGCACAGGGAAGAGAGCCATCTACCGCTCCTGTAGTGTTGTGCCCTGCCCGCCCAATGGTGAGCCACTCCCCAGTGTCAGCGACACTGTGTTGCTTGTGTGACTTGCACCCTAGCAGCAATACAGAGGGGAGATTAGAGACATAACCCATTACTCTTGAAATAGGCTGCACAGTTCTACCAATGTACACATCAGGATCAAATGCCTGAGTAAATGTTTAAATTGTTATTATAAACAATTGAGTAGCTGGAGAGTAGAAAAAAAAGTAATGATGACCCTCAACACTGATAATAAAATTTCTCAACACTTGTGTGGGAAGAGATGATCAATAAAGCCATCTTCCTAAAATTGTTTATAGTGTACAAAAACGTATCTAAATCTCAAACAGATGAAATAATGTAAAATAACTTGTTTTCTAGGTAAATCTTTTCGTCAAGAGCAATGTGAGGCTAAAAATGGATATCAGTCTGATACAAAAGGAGTGAAAACATTTGTGGAGTGGGTTCCCAAATATGCAGGCGTCCTTCCGGGGGATGTGTGCAAACTCACCTGCCGAGCTAAGGGCACCGGCTACTATGTGGTGTTTTCTCCAAAGGTAATTGCCTGCTGAGGTCCAGAATCAGTAGGTGTCCTTGATGGGGAGTGTTTGGGAGCATGAAGCCTGCAGGTACCAAATGTAAATAAATAGCCATTTGGTGGGTGGTTAGATTTTTAGTTTCATTGCTCTAATTTCTATATTTTCCAATTTTATTCAGTGAATAAAATTATCTTGTAAATAGAACAAGTAAATGTTTTGAAAGCTATTTTTGAAAAGCATAACTGTCAAGAGAAGTGAAGTGTGACCTTTGCTGCAAAAGAACTCTTAAAACAGCTTGTATTTCCTGGGCACATTTGCAAAGCAAGATTAATTCTCCATTTTTCTATCATTTACTTAAGAATTCCTTTGGTGACTCATGAAGATAGGTTTCAAGATAATCACCTCTGATAAATGCACCTTTAATAGGACTCAATGTCTTGCAGGTTATTTACATTATTATACATGCATACAAAATTATGCTTCATTTATCACAGAAGGGCATTTTCTACGATGCACTTTTATTTCTTACAATGAAAGCTAGGCTGCAATCTAAAAAGGTTATCAAATTTGTACATGTCAATTCAGTCTGCAAATTTGCAGACCACCTTCAGATATTTACAACACATTGTTGATCAACATTTAATATTTCACTTACAAATACTTTATAAATACACTTATAAATAAATAGCAAAACATTACATTTTCCTTTTAAAATACAAAGAAATACAAACAAAAATGTCATTTTGGAAATATAACCACTTGAAGAGCTGTTCTATGTTGAAGTGCACCTTAGTTCAACTTTACACACATGTACACACTCCCATACACACATATATGAAAAGATTTTGCAAATATTAAAGATGTCTGACTGTTCATGTAATTTATATAAATTTTCACCTACACAAACTATAAGCAGCCCAATATATACTATTTTAGAATTAGATTTTTAAATATATACTAATTCCTTGGCTCCAAATATATTCAGCCTCAAAAAAAAAAAAAGTCTTCCAGGAAGGACATTGGTCTAACTTCCCAGATTCCTGATTCCTGATTACTTCCGTATCTGACAGTCTGATGCTTCCAATCGTTACAAGGCTTGGAATGTTGGAATGTCAGGTTTAGATTATTTTCATTTATTTCTGGACTAGAATTTATGCAACAAAGAAGGAGCTCTGTGTTCTTGAGCCTGTTCTCCATGAAGTCCCACACATGAAGTGAAAAGATCACTCCTATCAAAGGAAAAAGGCAGACCTATGCCTACCCCAGACACACTTTACACGTGTGGAGACAGGTAATTACCGCCGGTGTCCTAAAAGTGTTGGAATTAAGCTCAATCAAGAACGTGTCTTTCCCACATTTATCCCAGATCTTCCTGTCCAGGTGTCAAGGTTTTTTTTAGTTAGCTGTGCCTGGAAATTACCACTGGGTGATCATTTTTGAAGGTAGTTATGCCAGTCTCAAAACTCACAGATCAGAACTTTTGACCAAGCTAAGCACGAGCGTTTCACACTGCTAATGTTTCTCCTCCTGCAGGTGACTGATGGAACCGAGTGTAGACCCTACAGTAACTCAGTCTGTGTCCGGGGGCGGTGCGTGCGGACTGGCTGTGACGGCATCATTGGCTCCAAGCTGCAGTATGACAAGTGTGGAATCTGCGGAGGAGACAACTCCAGTTGCACAAAGGTGGTTGGTACCTTCAATAAAAAAAGGTAACTTGATAGAACAGTCACCCTTACAGGAATGGGGCAAAGCTTTAAACCATGACAAAATTAATAAGGAGGGTCTCGAGGTCTCTACTTATGTTGTAAGGATGCCCCGGGGGAGGTCAAGGATGCCCTGGAGGGCTCCAGTAACACATTAGGAATATGAAAAGGGAAGGGCAGGAGAGGAAACCACTGTGGCTGCTCAGTGGCACTTTCTGGAACTTCTGGAAGCAGATAAACTTCAACAGCCTCAGGGTCCAGACTTTGCAAAGTGCAGCAACTAAAAGCACAAAGCCTGTGACAGGCTTTGTTTTCTTTTTGTTTTTTTTTCACAAATGAATTCCTCTTAGGCTGTATTTTTCTTATAGAAGATTTATTGACTGAATTCAGGGTATTTTTCTTTTATATATATATATATATATAAAAGATTTATTGACTGAATTCAGGCCAGAGGTTGGGGAGAGGAGGTGAGAGGACTCACCAGAGTGGGGAGCAGAACAGGCAGATTGATGAAGTACACTGCTGAGGGGAGCAGTGGGGAGACAGGAGGAGGTCTGTTGCACCATGTGGATCACCTCCAGGGCTGGGGATCGAACTCATACTGAAGTGGCTGCAGCTAGTTTCCAGTGTTGTGCTTTAACCTGATGCTTCACCAGGGAGGGCCAGGCTGTATTTTTCTTAAGAAAACATTTCTCTTTGCAAAAAGTTAAGTTCATTGCAGTGGGGGTAGACCACAATCCTTTTTGAGGTGAACACTCCTGCTTCACATTTTACTCTATAAAGAAATATACACAGTAATGTCTATTTCCTGCTTCCTCTCATGTTCCTTGATTATATTTTTGCTTTAAATATATAAGTCTATAAAGTAACGATTTCAGGCATAATATAACCTGCTGTCAGCAGCGATGACTAAGCTGACTAACGAGTGTGCTTGAAAGCAGAGTTGCTTTTTTTCTTTAAAAAAGAGCACTCATACTGAGAGGTTTGGTCTTTGGATACCAGCATTCTTGATATATATGTATATTTGTATGTGTGTGTGTGTGTGTGTGTGTGTGTGTGTGTGTGTTGTGTGTGGTAGTGCTGTGTTGTCTTTAACTGTAAAATAACATTATCAACTTAGCAAACTAAGGAAACAATGAAAACAATTGTGGCCCTCCCTGGTCCAATCTCAGCACTGACACTGCTGAGGCCTGAGTTCTGATCCCTGGTCAGGGAGCTGACCCACAGGGCGCGGCAGACCTCTCCTGACCCGCCCGCTGCTCCCCTCAGCAGTGTACTTCACCGATCTGCAGTTCTGCTCCCCACTCTGTCTCTGGTGAAGCCTCTTTCCTGCTGCACATGTGGCCTACACCCCAGTTAATATAATAAAAATATTTTTTTAAAAAAAGGAAATGATTACCTGCCATGAATGTAATGTGAAAAACTGGAAAAATTTTTGATATGATAAGCAAACTGATATGATTGCATAATTTATTCTAAGTTAGAATATGTATTAGTAAGTTTTTTTGCTAGTGATATGATAATGATTCATTGAACTGTATTGGAACATCTCAGTTAAAAACACTTCATGTTTAATTACTTCAGCACTTTTATATGGTCCAAAGGTATACGTCTCCTTAGAGATGACCGGGCCCAAGTGTTTGTTTGGCAAAAGGAGTCTGGAAGTTTAGGATGTTATCTAGTTTAACTAGTGAGTGCCAAAACCTAGGCTATCACTTAGGCCAGAGGATTAAAAGATTAGTAAGAGGGGAAAAGGGCCCTCCCTGGTGGCACAACAGGTTAAAACAGCACTATGAGGTTTTCCAAAGCCACTGCAGCAAGTCACCAGTTTGATCCCCGGCCAGGACACTGACCCACATGGCGCGGCAGACCTCTCCTGACCCGCCCGCTGCTCCCCTCAGCAGTGTACTTCGTCAATCTGCCTGTTCTGCTCCCCACTCTGTCTCTGGTGAATTGTCTCACCACACCTATACCCTCTAGCCTATACCCCAGTTCTGTATGCACAAATAAATAAATCTTTTAAATAACAACAAAAAATACTTCATCAAATTCAAACCTATTCGCAAGTTATGATTCTGAGTTTATATCATCCCTCCCTCAATGTTCCTCTTTTCAGTAAGTAGCAGCTCAGTCCTTTATCTGCTTATACTCGAAGCTTCAGTCTTCAGGGCCTCCCTGGTGGGACCAGGGGTTAAAGTACGGTGCTATCGAGCTGTCTGCAGACAGGGATGTGGAAGTTGTAGAGACAGAGTGGGGAGCAGCACAGGCAGATCTACTGAAATACACTGCTGAGGGGAGCAGTGAGCCAGACAGGAGAGGTCTGTCTCTTGCATCATGTGGATCAACTCAGTGCCCGGGATCCAACCAGTGCTGCAGTAGATGCTGATAGCATCTTAGTGCTGAGGCTCAACCCCTTGTGCCACCAGGGATGCCCTTATTATGAAATTTCCTATACTCTAAGGTAAAGTTTTAGCTAAAATGACACCTCTTCCCTGGCATAGATCCTTGGTGCTTAATTAGCATTTGTGTCTTAGTATTTCCAGAAAGCTGAGGATGTTTATGCCTCTGCTCATTTTACTGAAGAGATAAAGAAATCACTAGAGAGCTAGCTTACTTGTTGCTCACCATCAAGCCTCACTCTACCCACTTAATACTTCATAGATAGTAAGCATTCAGGGAATTTTGCTATAACATTAAAGACACTTTTTTTTTTTTTTGAAAATGAAAAAAGCTATGATTCCCTGAGTGTAGAATTTGTGTTCCATTTGTGTCATGCCCAGGAAATTCAACATTCTTGTAGAAATTAGAACAGAGGCTCTGTGTCAAGTATAATACTTAAAACTGCCCCTCCTCTCCTCCCCCCGCATTTAATTCAGTGTGACACTAATCTACAGATTGGAACCATGTGAAGAGCCTCACAAATGTAGCTGACTGGGTCTTATCTTGAATGATGGGGATTTCATTGGCCAGAAATTGGGGATTTCAGTGTTTTAAAGCTCTCTGCATGATTGTAGTATGCAAAAGCGCTTGAGAAACAATTTAAAGATTTCTGTAAGATGGATGACACATTTTTGTTCATAGCGTTTAAGTTTAGTATCCCATTTTGTTCCAGAAAGAACATAAAGTTACTTGGTAATGGTGACAGGATTTGAGAAGGTTGTTAGTTTTTATAAATTTTCAAAGTTAGTATCAACTTTTCAGTCAAAGGTAGGCAGCTTACATTACCTTCATTTGAACATCTTAATAAAAATATGTGGATTGACAGTCTAGCCACTCGATTTTGTTTTGAAAATCAACTTTCGAAGTCAATTTTAAACTCATCTCTAAAATTCCTCATAACTGTTTTAAGGTAAGAATTTGAGAAGATTTCTGTGTGTTTATCTATTAAATGTTTGCTTATTTCCTCTTCCCTCCTCCATTTCTTTCTTCTTCCTTCTACCACTATCTCTTCCTCTTCCTCCTACCACATCTCCCCATCCATTCCCCCCTTCTCTGTTCCTCCGTCCTTCTTTCCTCACCCCTATTGATATTCCACCTCTAGTAAGGGTTATACTGATGTCGTAAAGATTCCCGAAGGGGCCACCCACATAAAAGTTAGACAGTTCAAAGCCAAAGACCAGACGAGATTCACTGCCTACTTAGCCCTGAAGAAGAAAAATGGGGAGTACCTGATCAATGGAAAGTATATGATCTCCACTTCAGAAACCATCGTTGACATCAATGGAACGGTCATGAACTACAGCGGCTGGAGCCACCGGGATGACTTCTTGCATGGTATGGGGTATGCAGCCACCAAGGAGATCCTAATCGTGCAGATTCTTGCAACAGACCCCACAAAGGCACTAGACGTCCGTTACAGTTTCTTTGTTCCCAATAAGTACACGCACAAAGTCAACTCCATCACTGGTCATGGCAGCAATAAGGTGGGCTCCCACCCTCCACAGCTGCAGTGGGTGACGGGCCCCTGGTTGGCATGCTCCAGGACCTGTGACACTGGCTGGCACACTAGGACAGTGCAATGTCAGGATGGAAACCGGAAGTTAGCAAAAGGTTGTCTTCTCTCTCAGAGGCCTTCGGCATTTAAGCAGTGTTTGCTGAAGAAATGTTAGCCTGTGGTTTATGAGCTGATGCAGAGATAACTGGAGGATGCGTCACCACTGTGGTGAAAAAGAGGTCCACCCAGAGCAAAGAAAGTCACACTTTGGTGGCACTGTCATCAGGAGGCCAAACCTGGACAGAATTTGCTCCCTGTGACCAAATGAAGATGAGCTGCTTCATGTGACAGTGGTGACCTTGGAGTACAGAAGGACTTGGGAGCCAGTGAACATCCCCCAGCCCACAAGAATGAAAAAACACTGAGGAATGTAGAAGCCGAGGACATTTGAAGATGGCAGTCCAGTCTCCCCTTGTCATCTACCTCTTACAGAATGTCTTCAAAGGCATTTTAATCATTTTCGCCCATAATACACAGTAGCTTATTTTTACTGTTTGTAAATACATTGTCCCTTGGTATGTCACTTTATATCACTTGGTTCTATTAAAAAAATGTATATATACATATGTGTGTGTGTGTTTACACACACACTGGAAGTATAAACACACACACATATACGTATATATATATCTATATATATATTTCTATAAAAAAGTGTTTGACCAAAGTAGGTCTGCAGCTATTTCAACTCCTTCCAGTTTCTAGAAAGAGCTGTGGATGGTTTACTGGAAATTAAGAACTCGCTGCTGTTTTAATAAGATTAGTACACTTTCAGACTACAGGAGATGACACTTTAGTCAGAAACCATTTTGACCACAAGCATCTTCTGAGAAATTCCTAAAACAAGACCTCAGTGTATCTCAACCTTTAAATACCTATACCAGGTCCTTTTCTTTAACTGTTTCACTGCCTGAATTTGTTCAAGCAGGAAGCCACCTCCATGCATTATTAGGCTGTAGAAGAGTTGGCATGTGTGCGTTAGCAGTATTGTAGAGTCTAAAAATTCATTTCCTTGTATTGCAATTTAAAAACCACGTTTTCCATTTATTTGTTCCTGACTACTTTTCCCTCCCCATGTCTGGTACCCCATAACTCCTGAGATGTAAAATACATAGTAAACACAGCCGATTTCTATCACTTTCAACACTGGTATACCTCTTACCAGCAAGCCTTTAAGATGCACTTGTTTTGCTTGTTTGTTTTATTCAAGCATTTTTAAGACCTAAATGTTTTGTACTTCTGGTTGACCTAGTTTAATAGGACTATTAAAGATTGTTTGGTCCTTAGCCACATCTCGAGTGGTGACATTCATGTGGCTAGTGTAAAAGAAAAAAAAAAAAGTGGCTAAGACTAGTAAGACTGTTTCCACACTACAGGCAATTATTCCTTGTTTCGTTTTGTTGCTGTTGTTTTAACCCAAGTTTACTGATACTATGCTTAAGATTTATGCCAATTGGAAAGATTTGGCTGTACCAGTAAGTGTTGGAGTAAAGAAATATGATTTTTGTGCAGTTGATTGTTTTTATCTCCATAATCTGTCTATGTGGGTTCTAAGTTTTAAATAGTTTGACTTGAAGTCTCTTGCAATCATATGCCTACATATCTGTTTTTCAGACAGTAGACTGCTTCCCTCTATCCCACAGCTCAGAAACTCTAACATGATTCTTTTCGTTGGAATTTGTTTTCCTTTGTGAAAAAACAAAACCAATTGTTTTTATAAAATTTTATAACAATCATGCCAAATGTGCCTATTGTTAAAGAGTTCCATATGAGGATGTTAGGAGACTATTGGAATTCCCTAAAGCTCCTGAGAGTTTATTTATAAAATTTTTTTAATATGAAAGAATTATGGAATTGATCTTGCTATATCACAGTCATTTCAGTGGGCCAGGAGGATGGCTATCTCATTGAATGAAGTATTTGCTTAAGAACTTATCTGATAAATCAAATAATTGTTTTACAAAACTGATCATCATCCTTTGGATTCTCACAGACTGACTTAACTTTAGGTGGGGTCATTTTTCCTTAACACGTATCAATGAAAGAAATGAGGCCTACACACACTGGTTACCTGCCTTTGATGGAGGTCACCAGGTAACCCACGCAGAGAACAAACTTATTCCAATCAGGCAGAAAAATATGAAAAGACACAGTGTTTGACTGGACAGAGAGATTAAATAGTAAGGCCAACAGTCCTTCCCCAATTGTCAAAATAACTTAAGAACTCAACTATGACAAATCATTTTTCTCTTTTGTGGTTATAGTGCACAGCAACATTAAAACATAATTACAAGCTAATATGATCGTCTCTTACTCTGCTTTTCTATATTGTATTCATCAAATTTTAACACAATTTATTAATAATTCATTATTCCCCCCCCTTCCAATATTGAAGTTTACATTTCTCGTGGAAGCAACCCTAGTTTAGAGCAAATAAACCACTATTCCATGCTTTCAAGAGAAAGTGCTTTAGTTTGTTGTTTAAGTATCAGTAAGTCTACTGAGGAATGTATGTCTGAATTTCTAAGAAAAATGACATAGACTAGAAAGTGAAATTGAGAGAAATGGAGCCTCCAGTAGTTAGGAAGAATGGGAGTAAAGGGGGAATCCTCCACAATACAATCTGATTCTCCCAGTGGGGTGGACTGCCTTTCATCTTTCCACAGTTACCTCTTGAATAAAAGATTCTAAGAGTCAGGATGCTGGGGATTACTTTCTCAAGAATGTTTCTGCAAGTGCTCGCATTTGTAAGGATCTAATCTTACTTACAAAACTAAGCACTCCAGGTCAAGTATCACTAAGTGCAAAAGGAGCCCCTTAGGGAATAGTCTTTATTTCTTTTAGAACAGAAAGTCAAATTAAATCCCACTTTGTTGTTCAGTGGCATATGGGCACTACTGAATGTATTCGATAATTTTAACTTCCTTTGCCTTCCTGTGGAAACAGTTTTATCCCATTCACTAAGAATGAAGGGATTAATCACAATTTTTAAAAAGTTGCAGCACTGAGAAAAAAGTAATTTATTGTTTTTGCAACTGGTATGTGAATCTGTGTGATAAAATTATTTATTCTTATTTAACAAAAATATGTGCAAATTCTTCTATATTTAAAATGTTTTGCTGTTGTCCAACTTTTTTAATTTATGCTTCATGTTTGTGTATAAAGTACACTTTGTGAGTTTACATAATATTCAGCACTGGTTGCTTTTGTATTTTTTCTTTTATAGAAAGCTTTCTGTGTAAAACAGGTGTACATGTATATATTCCTCATGTATCCTTCTGATGCTATCACTTTCCTTTCTAAGGAAGTTTTTAAATTTAATCCTTCATAACTAAAGTGTTCATTGCTGTACCTATGTCTTTTCAGTTCCATGAATAATCATTCTTCTAAGTTACAGGTAAGAAAATACTCATTCAAGTAAATTAAGTCCAAGTTTTAAACTTAGGTATGTAGAAAGTCTGGAAACTTCACACAAAATGAAAACACGACTCACTTTACTGATAAACTTGGACAAGAAGCCATTGATGTATTATATGAAAGTTGCATAGACTTTTATATAGTTGTGAATGGCATCGATGTAAATAAACCCAAATATTATTATCAGTTGCTTTATAAGCACTCCTTAAAATTGTCACTTAGGAAAAAAAAAATTGTCACTTAGTCTTGTCATTTAGTCTCTAGTGTTTGTAGGATGGTACAATTAAGAGTAAACAAATTGGTTTTAAATGAGTCAAAAGTCAGTAATCATAACCATTTCTACAAACAGCATTTCCATTGATGGCATGTGACTTTCTATCACCACTAGTGAATCTCACAAGTGACAATAGAATTTAGGACAGGCTAGGTCACTTTGGATAACATCAACTTGCCTTCACAGTCTGGTCACAGCAATCAGGGAAAGCATCCTTGCATGCCCAGTTGACCAGACCCATATCTGAATTTGATATTTCTCCCACTAACTTCTCGTTAACAAGGTGATGGTAATGGTCTCAGTGAGGAGAGTAACAAGATTCCAAGTCTGGGTCTTCTGCTATGACATAGAGTTTACTGTTTATAACAAAGTTGAACTTAATAATGATCAAATCTTGCTAATAGCTAATGACCGAATGTAAAATTTTATTGGCAGGATTGGTGAATATTCCTAGTCTGACTTGAGGCCATACAAATGCTTACAATTCAAATTCAACTCTACAAAATAAATGAAGTGGCCATTAGTATAGTTAACGGTCACCCACAGCTATAGAACCAGTTGCCAGGCCAGGATGATCTGTCCTTTAGATACACAGACAAAAAACTTGTATATTTTCTTTTTTTCCTCATTCGCTAACAGCAAATAGTTTTAGACTGTTAAAGAGGTAGGTCATTTTAACTCTCTATTTCACTGGCAAAAAATATCTAACAGTTTCTGTTACCATGAACTACAGAATGAATTCTCAAGCTATAGTATCATGAAACACTCTACAATGTCTAATTGTGTTCTGTTCAATGAAGGCCTGGGAATATATTAAAATATTCACCCATGCATTAGTCAATCAAAAATGGGAATATATTGATAGTGTTCAGACTTGCAAAGAATTTAATCTGGCAGATGTCTTTCGAGTGCCATGAAATCATAATTCTCAATACAGACTGTATGGAAGAAATTAAGGACTATTTTGTTACAACATGTTGATTTTAAAAAAATAGGACTGAAATAGACATAGTTAAACCAGTCCACAGAACTCACTACATAGCACTTTAGCAGTACATCTGCTCTCTATGGTCCTTTACTCCCATTGTCCACCAGCCAGTCCATGGACTACCAAAGGTCAATTGAAAAAATTAATATTGGCCCATCATCCTCCAAAACACTGCCACTTCCACATGACCCAAAGTTGAACACTGTGAGCAAAACTGTGATTTGTAAATAAAACAGGGCATTCTCCCTTTTCTCATCTTCCTTGGTACATCTAATGAACTATTGTAATTTTCATCAAGGTGCTACCATTTTCAGTGACCAGCTGTCAATGGGGTGTTTCTGAGTGACTATTTTATTCCATGTGACATTTTAGCTTGCAAAAAATTTAAGTCTATTTTCACTTTTATCAAGGATGGGCACAACTTGATACTCCAATTTGGGAAAATTGCATCTATGGACATTGTTGGTCAGTAGTGTTCAGTGATTTAAATTCTTTGTATATCCAACATCAAAACTTGAATAATACCAGGCTGGAGTAGTAGACTTGTATATGAAATCATGTTCATCACTTGCTAAAGCCATCACCATTTCTTTCCAATATGTCTCTCAAGTTTTGTTTTTTTTTTCTCTACACAAACTCCTGTATATATTTAGTCTGCAATATTTTATATCTACCATAAACATTTGGCAAGAGTATCTAGTCTTTAATAATTCACTTCATATGAGAAGCACTTCAGCCCGTTCTGAGAGTACGTTTAGTTAGAAGCTCACACTGTGTGTTGTGAGACTAGATTTTTGATGAGTAAATATACATATATTGTCTCTGGATGGCATTTTTGCATTCCATGATGAGGCATGACATAACTAGGGT